AACCACTTTGCACAGCTTGGAGCAATGGTCAATTGCTGAAAACAGTTTTGTCAAATACAAACAGCTTATATCAGGAACACAAGAAATGGACTCCTAGTATAGATCAAAGCATACCATTACTATTTACACCGATTTGTTTTTGCTTTTGGAGATAACCTAATTCAATACGGTTGATAATGAACTTCCCCTGCTTTGCCATATCCATCTGAAGGACAGAAATCTGAAAGATTGTCCTAAGCTGAAGCCACTGACTGCGCATATGAGAATCCTGCAGCTTGGCTATCTTTATCGCTTGATCTTCGTTTCATCGTTTTCTTAATCTCCTCCTTCTTGTCGACAAACTGGATCAGCTCTTTGAAGCTGCCAAGGCGTGATAGCCGCCGCTGTCTTATGACAGGACCAGAAGCGGCTGCGCTGGGCTTGCCAGCAGCTTCAGAACTGGAGTACTGGTTGTACAGCCAGCAGACTCGTATGAAGAATACCAGCAGTGCGAAGACGCATATCAGGGCACACACAAGGAAAAGGCCCCAAAAGCTTCCAAGGCCAAGCCTGGTTGCTCCCACTTGGCTGTCATCTGAGGAGCAACTAGACCGTGAGAACCACTCGTCGTGGATTCTCTGAAGTTGGCCACTCTCTGAAAGTTGAAGGATGGCGGTCGATAAATCTGCAGCAAGTGGGGAGTCTCTCTGGAATGCCTGTAAAGAAAAGCAATGGAGCAGAATAAATCATTTCCGTTACAGTGCCAGACATGGATGTGTGCTTCCCTGAGACGAAGTAAATGAGGGAAGAGAACAAGATAAAGGACAATGAACATACAAAGCCCCATCCTTCCTTTGTGAATTCCTCTCCCACTATTCTGAATTTGCAGTAGTTTGAAAGGAAGATATCAATATATGGCTTCTCATCAACAATTGCAGCAACACCGCCGTATTTTGGTCCCCGGTTAAGGGCATCAGCATATTCCTGGATCGTATTCAGTGGTACCAGTCGAGAGGGAGGAACATTGAAGTTTTCACTCAGGTACCTTTTGGTAAATTTTCCGGCCTGGTATCCAATAGGTAAAGAACTTGAAACCAAACTATCAATCCCTGTAATTCCAGTTGAGAGCTGTTGGACTGTGAGGATTGACGTCAAGCTAGCAGTGTAACTTGAAGTGATGATCAGCACAACGAACAACCATATTATCAACACGAACCGCCCAAGTGTGCTTACAGTGTTCTCTCCTGAAGTGAGTTTCTCGTCAAGACGTTTCCATGCATATAGGCAAAGAATCATGGAAGAGTTTATAAGTTAATATCATGGACGCGTCTAGTGGACTTACTGTGTGAGAAGAACATTGTTGAGAAGCTAAACCTGAAAGAGAAGCACATATCATCCGTCAATTCCTGAAGTTAGCAACTAAGCATTTAGGAAAAAAAACACCAACAAAATAACAGTAAATCATAAGATGAGCATGAATTGAATAAAGCTAGAAACATTTTTCACCCATAATGGTATTGCCAGTCTGAACTTTGACTCAAACAAGGTAAGGTAAATTAGGACAAAAAAGCATCCACAAAGTTACAACATGCAACAGACGTACCATAACATTGTTATGACTTGTCGCCTTGGAGAGCCTCGAAATTCCTCATTAGTACGATGTTCAAGAAGCCAAACTACTACACCCACCAAAATAAAAAGAGCAACTGTGACACACCACATCTCCAATGTGAAAGGTTCAAGGAAAGGCCAGGCACTTGAAGTTACGTGTTTCAGGGGCGCTACTATCACAAGCCCTGACTCAATATAAGGCTGTGTGTATTCGGCAAGCTGCATTCCATTTCTCACTATAGCAAAGTCGCCTACAGCTGCATCAAGTGACTAAATGAAAATGAAACAAATCAGAGGTCTGACAACAAAATTGTGAAATAGATTGGGACAAGAATGAGAGCATACATTGGCAGCAACCATTCTAATGATGTCAATATAGCTAGGGTTTTTTGTGCCATCCCCAATAGTTATAAATTGGTAAGGAACTGGGTAAGGAAGCAGTTTAATTGCTGCGTTGAATATCTCGATGCAATAACCACTCATGTTATCTCCTCTGCCTGACACTAATTCCTTAAAGCTTGCTTTAATTGGAACCCCAACTCTCAGAGGTTGGCCAGTGGTTGGGAATACCCATCCCTGAGGCTTAGTAGTGGAATCACCAGGCCATACCACATCATGCAGCTGCTGGGCACTTGTAGATGTATTTCGTGGCATCTGATACAAAATTTCAGGAGCAGCCACGGAAAGCCCAGAATAGTTAGACCAATAGCCAATCAAGCGGGAGCCAGAGCCAGCAGCATTAAGGATATCATACGCTGGGCGTACCAAATTGCGGTCTGAATCAAACTGGACTGGACCTGTAACACCTGTAAAGTTGGTGAGGAGAAGTTGCTGCAGCATCTGCTCACCACCATCAAATATCTTGAGAGTTGATAGATGCAACGTGCTGTCATTTAAATTTTGTAATCTGGGATCTGTTGAGAAGTTGATCTGTTGCCCACTACTGAGAAATTTATTGACAGCACGAGCAATGGCCCAAACCGAGTCATAAGCATAAAAACCATACGAGTTCAAACCAGAAGTAATATTTCTGTTACGAGCCACATCATTCCATTTAGATATGAACTTATCCTTGGCTTCAGATTCAGGAATGTGCTGACGCAGAACAATTAGTCCCTGAATATGACCCGTATCTTTAAGATCTCTATATGTTGAGGAATCAAGGACAGCAGCTAGCCAATCAGTTACTATCCAGACATAGCCACTGGCCATCATTTGGAGGTTCTTAGCTACAGAAAATATTCTCATCCCCGTGTCAGGATTGACATGCACAACCATGACCCTTGATTCCATCATATTTGCTCTAAATAGTACATCATTGATCACGTCTGTATTTGAATTTGGAGGAATAGCTGCTTTATATGAAATCTTTGCCCTCTTTAATGCAAGCGCATCACCGAGGGCTTCCATGCCACCTCGCCCATAATCATCATCAACGAATATAGCAGTCACCCTTTTCCATTGATAGTAATCAACAATGCTAGCAACGGCATTCATTTGGAAGTAGTCACTTATGGTTGTCCTGATGAAGTACGGATACTCTGATGCAGAAAGACTTGGATCTGTAGCCGCAAATGATAGAAGTGGTACATGTAGCTCATTAATAACATGGGAGACGACATGGCCTATCCCGGAGGATTGTGGGCCAATCACCGCAACTACGCTTTTTTCCATTAGCCGCAACGCTGCAACCAAGTAAGGTTTCTATGAATCAGTTCATGCACCGTCAAAGTAGAAGTGACACTTGAGGTACTGAAGTTAATTTCTGATGTCTTTCAAGCCAAGAAAAGATGACAGCTTATTGTACTCGTGCCTATAAAGATCCCACTAATTTTGTCCTTAAACTTTATGCATGTCATGCAAACTTTATTTTCTGATAAAAACAGGAAAACTAGCTGTGATTCAAACAAAGAAACAGTCTCCAATAAACCTATATAGTTTACTTTGTTCTGGTTCTCAAACTTGACAGAAGGAAACAAAGAATCTTGAATGAGAATAAAGTGAGGAATTGGATGCTCCCTAACAGCTGACACATGTTTCCTGCATCCTACAGAATACCTTAACCGATTTCACAAGTTAAGCCATTTGTGGTACCACTCCATCAGTAACAGCTAACACATGTTTCCTGCATCCTATAGAATACCTAACCGATTTCACAAGTTACGGCACCACTCCATAAGTAACAGCTGACACATGTTTCCTGCATCCTACAGAATACCTTAACCGATTTCACAAGTTAAGCCATTTGTGGTACCACTCCATCAGTAACAGCTAACACATGTTTCCTGCATCCTATAGAATACCTAACCGATTTCACAAGTTACGGCACCACTCCATCAGTAACAGCTGACACGTGTTTCCTGCATCCTACAGAATACCTTAACCGATTTCACAAGTTACGCTATTTGTGGTACCACTCAGTCAGCACTCTTTCTGTCTGTTGCTCTTCTATTACCAGGACAATCGGGTTAGTAGAATTCTTAAGCTATTTTTGCATAGGTAGATCAATATGGATATGGATAAGTGAACGCATAATGAGGGGAACAAGTGGAAGTGATCTAGAGACTAGAGAGTGGTATTTAAGTAGAATGCGGGGTCAGGGTTCATAGGCATCCGAAAGCATGGATGGGGTGTTGACCAAGTGTCAAAAAGTATCTTATTTATTTGAATGTTACAAAAATTACTGATACCGACGATTATCAGTGTCCAATGTATATTCGAGGAGCATCATTATCTGATATGCAAACTTTTGTAAGTATCTGTGCAATCATAGTTCTTCAGAAAGGAATATGTTATTATAAGATACTTTTGATCGACGTAAGACAAACAGAAAAGCTAACATTGTCAAATCATCTTATGAAACACGAGCCGAGCAATTATTAAGAATATAAAAATCCGACCAGTAGGAGTACCTGGCTTAGTTTGACTAAACCAATAATACAGTGGGACCGAATAGTCCCCTCCCATCCGCCTCCTATGTTTTTGCCGGCAGTAAAGTTCTCTCTTGGATCAGTCAAGATTTTGTTCAGGTTTTAGACGAACAATCAACTTTTTTGAACATGGATAATAATAAGATAGACATTGCCCCCTCTTTTATGCTTTACTGATAATAAGTATAAAGATGAAACAGTAGGATTAAGACTACTGTTACAGCTGTTGGCTATAATATTTCCTCAAAACTTTGAAACAGCTCTGTATCCAAAAAGGCCTCAATATTTCCATTTCCGCTGCTACCTCTGCAGTAATTCTAATTCTTAACTATAAAAAAAAGGAAAAAAACTACTTTTTTTTTGAAAGACAAAAACAACAACAACAACAACATCTTGACACATGGACATGCCAACACGAGCAACTGAAGCTTCGCCAAACAAAAAAAAAAAAAAGCCACTGGCAGAGGGGGAAACGAAAACTCAACCATCGATGGTCCCAAGAAAGCCGCTGCAGTTGGTGTCCTGGGGCACCAAATTGAGCTGGGTCCCCGGGAGGACCTTGCCGTCCGCGTTGACGTCATCGACGGCGAGCTCGATGGCGAGCTGCGCCGCGAGGCCAATTGTGGAGTCGTACGTGAAGAGAGCGCCGACGGTCACCTCGCTCGGCCGCGCCCCCGCCGCCGACGCCGCCCGCGCGGCGGCAAGCGCCAAGAACAGAATCACCAACTGAGCCGCGCCCATTACGCGGAATTCAAGCGGCACTAGAGGCTAGAGCACGGCGCGGGCCGGAACCTTGGTACCAACCGCATCAGTCAGTTCGGAGAGGAGGAATGACTGAATGAGAAGCGCTGGGAGGATGAGGGGCAGCGACGGCTGGTTCTGGGTGGAGCTATGGTATCGTCGCAAAGCAAGATTCTGGTTTTTGAGGTGGGCAAGGAAGGAGGACGGTGAAGAGGACAACTGGTGAGGAGCCGAGCTCTCTCCCTCGCCGCGGGATGCCGGGATGAGGCTTTGAGGAGCCGACGCACTGTACCGGAGCTGACTCCGAGTCTCCGAACTCTGGGGACTGTATGGGATCTGAATCCGAACTCGGAAGTCGGAATGCGTAGGTGTGAAGTCACGCATGACCCAAGCGCGCACAGCAGAGAGACAGCGAGCGCCGAGCGAGATGGAGATTGGGGAGGTTTGAGGGTGAATGAATGGGTGATGCTACCGCGCGACGGAGACGGGAAGGAAGGAATTTTGTCGTCACGGACGTCGGTGGACAGCGTCTCCATGGACCAGTAATTTTTCAACAATTCTGATCTCTCTGAGTGATAGCATGGAAATCAAGGCCCTTTGCTAACATTTGTTTTTCTTTCCCTTGAGAACTACCAAAACTTGTCCACATTTCACATCTGGCTGACATATGTTGACCAAACTTTTTAATAACTTCTGCTTCACAGACCTCTGTCATGGCTAATTTTAATAGCAAACCAACCGAGTCTTGAATTAGCTCAATCTCATCATTTGTCCTGCTCGTGCATAGCCCTACCGTTCTCCACAAGTGATTGCATAGCCCTACCGTTAGCCCATTCTTTGCAACATTCGGCATGTTTGTTTGTTGGTTTTAGCCAGAGCTTATCAGCCAGCCAATAGTATTTTTTCTCTCACAACAAACCAGTACCAGTCGGGTTTATCAGCCCAAAAACCGACCAGCGAACAGACCGAATGTTTAAACCATGCGTCGACCACCTATTGGTCGATGAGGCGAGCGCCAATGGGCACTAGGACTTGTGCACCGTTCCCATGCCATGCCAGGATAGTCCAGGGCTCACTCCTTCCCCGTGCTTGCACTAGTGAAATTTTTGCATTTTGGTCCGTTTTGAAAACATTTTTTACAAAAAGACACATGCCAAAACGTTTGCTGAAAATAGACTATTTTTAGGCGTCTTAGAATATGACGCCAAGGTATGAGGGTCGGCGTCGACTGACACGACGCCGAGGTCTTGCCACGTCATGGACGACCCCCGTCGACGGCGACACGGTGGCACATGGGGTCCGACATGTCGGCGTTGTGTCAGCCAACGCCAAAGGCCCAACCTCGGCGCTGTGGGACTACACGCCGAGCTATTGGCACCATCCGGTGCGCGGCCCAGGCGGCCCAGCAACGCTTCGTGGCCTAATATCTCGGCGCTGGGTCACTTAACGCCGAGCCACCAGACCTCGGCGCGGCCCGACTCAATGCCAAGGTCTGGACTCTTGAAGCCGCGTCGAGGCCCCCTTCTTCTTCCTCCCTCCATTCTGAAACCGCTGGCCGGCTCTGCTCTTCGGCTCCCCCCACGCCCCCATGAAACCCTAACTCCCAAAAGCGACCCTAAGAGCCCCGATCTCGTCTCCCGAAGCTTCCTCGAGGTAATGGTCCCTCCCCTCCTCCAATCTATCCGCGTAGATGTGCTTGCATTGTCTCTAATCATGTGGAATCATGGGTGTATGGTGTTTTGGTATATGTGTATTTGCATTTGCACAATGTATGGCTTAGGTTGATTGAGTGCATTGTTGTTTAACTGTTTTATGTGCTGAACATGTTAGGTTAGTTTGGTTTCTAGTTATTTTGGTCATTAGGGTTCTTTGTTTATTGTAGGTGTCATTAGGGTTAGTTATTTGTTGGTCATTAGGGTTAGTATGTATTTTACTTATTTGTTGGTCATTACATTTCAATTTTTTATGACTACAAATGATTATGTTGTTGGGGTTGAAAAAGATGAAATGATATATTTTAGTTTCTACTTGTTGGATTGAAACTCGCATGATATATTGATATGTGACATTACTTGTTGTGTGATGGCTGTAGATGGATAAATTAGTGAGGTTGCATCATGGAGGCCGTATTGTTAGGACAAGAGATGATAGTTTGGAATTTCTGGACATGTGTGAGGAGTTGTTGATTTTTTCTGCAACACCATCTTTGACCCAGTTAGTGAAGCGAGTGAAGGTTAAGTTAGGCTGGAATGAAGGAGACGTGCATGTTCAGTTTGAAGGTGTCATAGATGTTGGGTCGTCGAAGGGTCCTCGGATCAAGCGGTTGCTCAAAATTACAAGCGAGACTGAATGGAATGATTACAAGGCAGTTGTATTGGCCTCAGAAGTGCGATCTTTGGATTTAGTAGTAAGTAAGGAGTCCGGCTTAGGAAATGATAACTTCGAAGCATGACCATCTTCCCCCGCTCATATAGGTTATGGTCCTTTGTCTGAAGAAGAAATACTTGTCACACAACTAGGCTACGATGGAGATGAGGAGGAGAATCCAGTTGCCGATGGTGAGGGCAATCATGATAGTGATGAAGAGGATGATGATTATGTAATTGGTGATGCAGAAGAAGGTTTGGACGACGCTAGCGGAGACTTTTCTATTGAGGATGAGCTTAGCGACGAAGATGATCTTAGTGGTGAAGAAGACTTTGGTGATGCTAGGGCTACGAACCGTTTTGACATGGAGATAGCTGGAGATGATGAATCCTTCATAGAGGAGATAGCCGAAGACTCTGATGACGATCGCCCTGTTGGTCGTCTCAATTTTAGGGAAATAGAGATATTGTCTAGGGTCTTGCCTTGGAGAGATCCACTAGTTGGTGATTTCGAGGACCTTAGCCATGGTCACAGGGCAGTAGCTGATGGTGGGCCAAGTGATACAACAGTGCCTGATGTTAGCGGTTGCCTCATCATACGGAAGGGCATATTGTTTGCTACCATGGATGAGTTGAAATCATGGTTGCAAGAGTACTCCATTGTACACAACCGACCTTTTAGGGTCATCAATTCATTCAAGGAGAAGAGGTACACTGTTGCTTGTGAAGAACAATAGTGTGGTTGGAGAGTATGTGCTAGGAAGACGAAGGCAGGCAAATGGAAGATTACCTCAGTGAAGCAACCACATGTTTGTGCCACTGCCGAGGCAGAAGAGAACCATCTACAACTCACTGCCGAGGCAGAAGAGAACCATCTACAACTCAATTCTAGGTTCATTGCAAGGCAGTTATGTCCCATGGTGAAGCATATGCCAACCATTACGGTGTCCACGTTGGTTGAGATCATCTTTCAACGGTACAATTACTATGTCAAGTATGGGAAAGCATGGAGGGCAAAGCAGCGTGCACTGGAAATAATATTTGGAAATTGGGAAGAAGCTTATGAGCGCCTCCCTGTAATGTTGAATGCAATGAGGGCTGTAAATCCTGGGATGCACTTTGAGTATTTACCTAAGGAGGGTGAAACAAGGAATGGTAGCCAGGTATTTGGAAGGGCCTTTTGGGCGTTCGGGCAGAGCATCGAAGCATTCAAGCATTGTAGGCCCGTCGTCTCAATTGATGGGACCTTTCTTACAGGGAAATTTGAAGGCACAATGCTTGTTTGTATTGGGACAGATGCAGAAGACCAGCTTGTGCCATTGGCCTTTGCGATTGTTCGGAAGGAGGACACGGATAGTTGGTGTTGGTTTCTCAGGCTAGTAAGACAAGTGGTAATTGGTCTGGGACGTGATGTTTGTGTGATATCCGATAGGCATGCTGGCATTCTGAATGCCGTAGAACAAGAGATTCTTGGTTATGGCCAAATACATCACCGGTGGTGCACCAGACACCTTGCTCAGAATCTTATAAGGCGTGATCACACAAAGGACAACTTCAAATTATTTGAGGAGGTTTGCAGGCAGCAAGAGGTGTAATTATTCAAAGACAAGCTAGATGCTCTGAAGTTAGCCACAAATGTTGATGGTAGGCAATTCTTGAGCGAGTTGATGGCGTCGAAGGATAAGTGGTCACTTGCATATGACACCGGAGGTTGGAGATGGGGCTTCATGACTAGTAACATGGCAGAGATATTCAATAGCCTTCTAAGAGGTTGTCGTGGTCTGCCTGTGACTGCTATTGCCTCATTCACCTTCTACAAGTTGAATGCTTGGTTCGTTTCGAGGAAGAAGCATGCGAGGTCTCTATGGACAGCAGGCAAAGCTTGGCCACTTTTAGCATCTCAGGAACTAGCTTTCTCAAAGAAAAAGTCTAAACGACATAAGGGTTCATGTTTCGATCCGATCAACCATGGATATGAGATTCTAGAGGGTGGTGGAACTAACATTGGTGGTGAAGACCGGGGTGCTCGAAAACATAAAGTAGTGATCAATGAGAACAAGTGTACGTGTGGAAAACCCACCATATACCATAGGCCTTGCTCCCACATGATTACAACCTGTCGCCTTAGACGTGTTGACGCTGAGGTCCCTCCCCATATGGCCGCAGAGTTCTCTTTGAGGAACCTAATGAGCACCTGGAATCCTCAGTTCGAGCCATTTCTTGACGACAGTCAATGGCCTACTTATGATGGCCCCAAGTATGTGGCTGATCTTGGTTTACTCTGGAAGAGTAGAGGACCTAGGCGGCGGAAGCGGTTCAGGATGGACATGGACTGAGCCACGAAAGGTAGATCAACCACGAGTAAGGTTGGGACACATTTTGTAGAGGACACCCAAAAGAGCCGTTGCTCTGGTTGCCATAAGACGGGCCACAATAAGAGAAAATATCCTGAACTACTTAGACAACAGGTATCCACCAAGCTAGCTACTTGAATTGCTTTGTGTAATAGTGCATTGGTTTACTTTTGTTTTTTTATTGTTATGTTACTTCGTACCACATATACATGCTTTAACTTATACTAATGCTTTGGCATTCCTTATGTTGCAGGATGGATCGGTTCCCCCTTCTTGATCCAAGGTTCGATGAGCACCACCGGGCTCGGAGGATCGAGAACGGAGAGGTATATTCAATAATTCGTATGAAACAGTGCATTGTTCATCTTTTGCTCTATAGTCCATGCTCTTTATAAAGTGACATGAACTAATACTTTTTCATGCTTGTCTTTTTTTGCAGGTTTTGAATGTGCTGAGGCCAATGACACATGAGGCCTCTACGACCATGGTCTACGACGAGAGGTACACGCCCCTCCTGAAGCTGGCGAACCTTGCTACCGTTGCTCGTGTTTGTCGTCGAGGCACGCCACCTTTCAACCCAGCGGCGCTGACGGCGTTGATACATCGGTGGCATCCGGAGACACACAACTTTCACCTACCGTGTGGGGAGATGACGGTCACTCTCGAGGATGTTGCCATGATCCTTGGAGTCAAAATCCGAGGATTCCCAGTGATAGGAGACACGGAGTCTGAAGGATGGCAGCAGCGGGTTGAGCACTTCTTGGGACGTCCCCTAGCGGCAGTTGAGGCTGGCAAGAAACGGCGCAGCAGTGGGGTGTCCCTGAGGTGGCTTCGTCAGCAGTTTCGGGAGTGCCCACCCAACATAGACGCCCAGACCGTGACATACTACTGTCGGGCCTATGTCCTACACATGTTTGGTACGGTTCTCTTCCCTGACGGCAGTGGAGACACGGCGTCCTGGATGTAATCCCGTGCCTTTGGAACTGGGAGGATGCCGGCAATAGGAGTTGGGGCTCGACTATACTTGCCTTCCTATACCGTCAGCTTTCCGAGGCTTGCCGCCGTCCTGGAGGCACGCACGCTACAATGTCAGGGTGCATCACACTATTGCAGGTAATAAAGCAAAGTTGTACAAGTTTCCACTACAATTCAATGTTTTTTCTTAACAAAAGTGATTAACATGCAAGTTTCCACTCTTTCTTGTAGATTTGGATGTGGGAGAGGCTTCCAGTTGGGAGACCGCATCAGCTTGATCCCCCATAACCTTGGTTTCCTCAAGGAGACATAGTTGTCGCCCCTACCGTGGCACACCTCTACGAGCGAGCCCATGGAACTTACCACGTGTCACGCCACGCGTACATCAGCTTCACCAACGAGCTAGACACCCTTTTGCCACAGCATGTAAGTTTCCCACCCTTTGGGCATAATTGAGGATATGTGCACAAATTGAGCGTCGACTAGTTGATGACGACGTTGTGTACAGGTTCAATGGCGCCCATATCGGCGGAGGCAAGTCACGGATCTCAACTTGAGCTCCTTGTGCACGGCAGACGAGGACGTTTGTACGATGAGGACCCCCCTTATATGTTTCTATGCAGTGGAGTACCATCTCCCACACCGTGTAGCACGCTAGTTTGGTAGGCTGCAGCCTTCTCCGCCCGAGGATTTCTCCACCGGTTGGTAGCTCCACAAGTACGTAACATGCAATATTTTGTTCATTTCACATGAATGAATCATTGAGTAGGCCTTCATATTGCCGCTATGGTGTAAAATTTGTAGGTTCAGTAGACAAAAAAAAGAAGATCACCAGCGCTACATTGATGAGTGGATGTTGATGGAGTAGAACAACATGGGCATCCACGCCGTCCATCGTGACAAGGCATTCAATGATTACCTTGTTTGGCTTGGTCAACGAAGAAGGCTTCAATTGAGGCCCGCTTGGACGGAGCAAGACATTGCTGACATTGCGAGCGAGGATGAGGGCAACAACCCATATGACCAAGCTACCCGAGAAGGCAGGCAAGTTGAGATCGCCCCTGTGTTAGCCAGAGCTGTAAGTGACACAACTATTTCCATCTCTGAGGTCTTTACTGTGATAGAGACTTAAATTCTTGTTTTTTTTGCATAGAGCACGGAGATAATGAGGACAGTGGCCGAGCAAGGAAGGGCATTGATGATTCCTGTGGGCGATCCTGATGAGGCCTCCATGTTACGACAGCACATTCAGGTAGCCTCCTGTCATTCAAGTGATGTTACATCTTTATATAGTTTTGCGACCAACCCCACTTACTAATAGTGCTTTCAAAATGCAAATGTGCCATGCATCGCCTCTGAAAAGGTAGTACTGCACGCCTTGGATGTAGACGTGCCCCGGATGTGGCAGTCCCACAACAGCTTGGTGCTGGACCTTCTACTGCACATGTTGGAGGGACTTCATCTTCACATGGTGCACATGTTGGTGGGACTTCTTCATATGGTGCAGCAACTAGTGCAGAGGGTGGTCAAGGACATGGTCCTTATGATGATGAAGATGATGAAGGACAGGGAGAGTACTATGAGCATGAGTATGATGAGATTGGCATGTCCCACCTTGAAGATGCACCCCAAGGTACTCAAGGCCCCTCCGGTTCTGGACGTCCACAGAGGACGCTCAGACCAGTGGATAGGTACACTCCAGGTACCTATCCGTTTGGGAGGGGAAAGCGTTACACTCGCCGTCCACGTTAAGGTACTTGGCTCAAATTTTAGCATACACCAATTAGCTCAATATCTAAACGAACATCTTTTGATATGCTAGTTAAGTTACATCTCATTTTTTGTTCCTAACTTAGCTCAATAGCCGCTGAAAGTTGTTAAAATTTACTATTATAGGAAAAAGAGAGATCAAGGTGAAAAGGAGCATTGGAGAAGGAACGAACTAAAAGCTCCAGACCTTGTCATATGCTTCTTTTGTGCGACCTTATGTAATGTTCTATGTATCTTATGGTATGCACTATGTTTGGACTATGTTTGATATCACTATGTTTCGATGTTCAATGTGTATGTCGGTGTGGTAACGACATGGACTATGTTTGATGAAGCATATCACTATGTTTCCAGCGTTGAATGTGTATTCTATGAAATTTTGTATTCTGCGAAATTCTGTCAATTTGTGCACTTGTGAACTGAAATGTTCATTTCTATTTTTTTTGTGTACTCAAAGCTCGGCGTCAAATCAAGACACACCGATGGTAGGTAGCTCGGCGTTTAGTCAATTAACGCCGACCCCTGGCGCATACTGGAATCGGCTGGTTCGCTTATTTACAAGGTGCCCAAGCTCGTAGCGTAAATAAATTGATGCCGACCCTTTAGAAACGGCGTTTATTCATTTGACGCCGAGATAGGACCGTGGGCACGACGTCCGCGGCCCAAACGTCGACGTGGCCCGACTCAACGCCTTGGTGTTCAAACTCGGCGTGGGCCGACTCAGCGCCCATAGTGTCGGCGTGGGCTAACTCAACGCCATTCTCTTTTACCTCGGCGTGGGCTGACTCGACGCCATTCTCTTTTTTTTTTTTTTTCTTCTATTTCTTTTTCCTTTTCTTTTTTATTATTCTTTTTCGGTACTCTTTTATTATTTCTTTTATTCTCATTTGTAATGTCCCTATTCTTAGAGAGAGTCAAATCTTTTTTTGAGTTTCGGAATCAACCATAGTACATGAAACTTAGAGATAGGTAAACTGCAATTTATGAAATAGCGAATGCACTACGATTACACTCACATGAAAACTAACAATGGCATGTCACAAACTAAACCTACCATGCCTTAGGGATTGAAAGAAACAAGTGATACAGACGTTACAAAGGTACTACGATTACACACTCACATGAAAACTAACAATGCATGTTGCAAACTAAACCTAGCATGCCTTAGGGGATTGAGAAGAACAACTCATACAAGCATTCCACATTTGAATTGACTAAGAAAGGTTGGTCCTAATAACGGTCCCACATATTGAACTGAGTTGCGCCTTCCCCACAGTATCCCCCAAATGACGGAGGCGGTGGCGGTGGCGGTGGTGGTGGAGAAGGAGGCCCGTGCTTCTTATGGTATGGGCACTGGCAGTACGGATTATTACATAGTGCCTCCTCTGCATCATTGCTGTTGTCGTCGTTCGACTTGTCCCTGTTACCACTTCTAGGGCCATACTCTAGGTCAAAGATGCGTCCCTGTAGATATGTGATGTACTGTTGATGGGGATAGATAGGAGGAGGGTCGACCCATCTAGTGAAGCAACAGTTATCTAGACAGCTTGAATCCTGAAAACCCATCTACCAATAAGTACTACTACAAATCAAATGCAAATCTAAAAAAGGAGAGAGTTCAAAGGAAATACAAATCCTCGCGGGCATCTGAAGAAACGACGGCCTCTACCGTCACAGTCGTTGTACATCTGCACAACGCAATCCAAACCGTGGCGGCATTTTGGCCAATCTTCAATGCGCTTGTCGTATGATCTAAGAGGTCTCTCACGGGTGAAGTTACTCTTCCTCTCTAAAGGAAATTCCTCTATTGGTTCTTCGAAAGAATCAGGATCCGGAGAACCCTTCCACATAATCGGAGGTCCCTTCCTCTCCCTCCGTCGAAACCCTTTCCACTCGAGGAACCTCCGCTCGACATTTGCTAAAACTAATCCAGAAAACAAGATGTGTGGATGTAGAGCAAGACATGGAGCACTATATATAGAGATGAAGGCAGGTTCACCGTGAATGCTACTTGACAAAAAAAACTTATGTGCGTACTCATTTATTGAATCTGCAAAGGCTAGATGCTTCATCTGAAAAGCCTACAACCATGACTAGTCATTTCATCTGAAAAGGCTACACCTGTGTTTTGTCACTTTATCTAAATGTAGTACATCACTCTGATATTAATTCATCGCGTATACGGATACAACAGTAAACGAATCTAGGCTTTTTAGTGAGTTTTCAAATAGACTTTTCATTGACCGCAACAGTACTTGTAGCCCTTTCAGTGACTACAACAGCACAAGTAGCATTTCAGTGATACAAACAGTAGCACTATAGTCCTAGGATAGTTAACGAAGTACAGGGCATAAGACCATCTGAAATAAACAGCACAAGTAGCTTTTTCAGTGATACAAACAGTAGCACTACAGTCCTAGAATAGTTAACGAGGAAGGAAGAAGAAGGGGACCTCGGCGCAGCTTCAAGAGTCCAGACCTCGGCGTTGAGTCGGGCCGCGCCGAGGTCTAGTGGCTCAGCGTTAAGTGACCCAGCGCCGAGATATTGGGCCACGAAGCGTTGCTGGGTCGCCTGGGCCGCGCACCGGGTGGTGCCAATAGCTCGGCGTGTAGTCCCACAGCGCCGAGGTTGGGCCTTTGGCGTTGGCTGACACAACGCCGACGTGTCGGACCCCATACGCCACCGTGTCGCCGTCGACCGGGGTCGTCCGTGACATGGCAAGACCTCGGCGTCGTGTCAGTCGACGCCGACCCTCATACCTTGGCGTCATGTTCTAAGACGCCTAAAAATGGTCTATTTTCAGCAAACGTTTTGGCATGGGTCTTTTTGTAAAAAATGTTTTCAAAACGGACCAAAATGCAAAAATTTCACCTTGCACTACAACACTGGAACACCTCCATTGTTGAGTCACGATACATCACCCAGTGGACTGCCAAGATGTTGACCTAAGCGCCACCATATCTAGAAAGGAGCACACATTGCATGTCGTTCACGTCTTCGGCGTTGTTAGTGATGAAGGTCACACACACATGTGTGTGCACGTGTCCCCTGGTACCACTGAAGTTGAGTTTGGCGTGAACAAGAACTAACTGCGGAAGCAGTCTGTCCACACTTCACGTTGTGGATCCGGGTCCTGAAAGTCCTTGGTTCGTTGTACTCCGAGTCCACCGATGGAGCCTTTTCACGCTGGTGCTGACTATTTTGCCCTCAAATATTTTGAAATATTTGTAAAATCCTAATTTGAGTTAAGGACAAAGTGGCGTGCCTCTGCCGTGTAAACAACTCCTATACACATGGAAAGACAACTAATGCCTATTTCACTCTCTTCTACGGAGTAACGTTCCATTATTTCCATTTTTGGGCATGCAACTTTTAATACTTATTCAAACCTTTTCCACGCTAACATTCTATATATTCTACATGGATAACGGTATCAAAGAAAAATAATATAGTCGGCCTATGCTGTTCCAGCGGAAAATAAACATTGCCTAAGGAGGTGTTTTTTTTCCTAACTAGTGGCTCTCGCCACATCCCTAGTTCCCTACAGCCGTAGTTGTCGTGATCTCATCTCGCCGCTGCCAACATTCTGGCCTTCCATCCGTGATGGCTACCTTGTCAACATCTAATAAGCACAAATTTTGGCATTGTTGTTCCGGCTTTCAAATTCATGGTGTTGATCTTTAAAGAAAATATGGCACCACCCTCATCAATCTAACCTCCATCACCAGCGCCGTCTTTGTGGTTCGAGCTTGAATCTTCGGCATGCCCTCATCTCACCTCACCTACAAAGTCACAGTTGTTCTAGATTCGATCCATAACGACATCCCCTATTATAAACGATTTTTTAGAGATGTATCAATTTTTTTTATCCACGGTTGTATCATGAACTACGTCTAAAAGTGGGTCTAGAGACGGACTGTCCGTAGAGATCAATTTCTAGAGTCAATTGCATTTTTAGAGGCGGTTGGTGTTTGTAATTGCCTCTAGAAATACTATTTACATGAGCGGCTGGTGCTACAAACTGCCTCTAAAAATAAAACCATTTCTTGAGGTGATTGATAGAAATAGCATTTCTAAGGGTAATCATATACCGACCGCCTTTAAAAATCAATCTGGCCTATTATCTCGAATACCTAATCTATGGACTTTATAGGCTCCAAACCCACAGGTCTTCTACTCTCTTGCCTCTCTATCTTTTCTTTAACCACAACAGCCACCAAAGGCCTCTCACCCACTCTCTTCTATCCACTCAGCATACCCACCCATGTCTCTATTTTCTCTTTACTCCACATATGACCTCTCTTTTCTCTACCCTACAATAGGGGCCTCGGCTGATAGACTCAGAGTGATAGCACGATGGGGCCTCGACGAAGTGGTTCAGATGGCGGCACAGTGGGGCCATGTTGAGTGTATTAGGTAAGAAGGTGCTTCGCCTTGGCGGATCCGACGGGAGAAGGGCTCGGCCATGGCGGATTTGGCGAGTGAAGTGCTGGCCACAGTAGGCAGTTAGGTACAACCGATTTGATGGCCAGCCACAACAAATCTTACTCATCCAAAATGGATGTGGTGAACGGCTAGCGAATGGCAATGGTGTTATGCATATGGTCATCGTGCATCTTTTTATAAAAGTCGGTTTCTATAGACGAACCACTCCGCCTCTAGAAATTCAATTTTTAGCTGCGGTCTTGTAGCCACAGCTGACGAACCCGATTTTATTTGATCGATAGTGCAAGTCGGTTTTGTAGTATAGTGATCATCATCCCGTCGTTGTCGTCGGCATGGTCGAGCTCCGTGCTTGCCGCTTCAGTGCATGTCTTGTTCATTGCCTCAATTTGATCCATGCTTTCTTGAAGTCAAACACTTGAGGTGCTGCAAGCCCTGCGCAGCTCCAGCACCATGGTTGCCGTAGGTGTTTGTCTAGGCAAGGACGGGCAATGCATGGTAACGGCGCCGATGGCCTTGAGCTCTGCGCTTTAGCTCTAAGCATGCAACAACGGCGGCGAGCATTCTGACTCCAGGCAGCCTGTAGAGGCTAAAGCTAGCTTTGAAGTCTAGAGGACTGTAAACTTACAGTTGATTTATTTAATTTACTTCTCCCAAAAAAACAATGACAGAGAATGAACACATTTTAATTACACTGGTAGGTTGTGCACATGCAAATACAAGTGGAGTGGTT